AGCAGGAGCAATGCAGTCTCACATTCAGGCCTGCCTCTGCGCTAACATACCCTGTTTCAGAGCATGGTGCAGAAGCAATGGCTTAGTGGAGTCATCTCATGTCGGGCAAGGTCCAAATTCAGCTGCAGTTACTGCATGTGTACAGTGCCAAGACTCCTTCTGGTTTGATCTGGCTACGTTAACAAAATTAAATCCTGTTAGCCTGCAAAGCACAGTTGCTGCATGCAAACTCTTTGCTCCTGAACCATGCCAACTTCTAAATCACACCATTGCTTGGAATAATGCTAGCTGGCCTGCACAAAAATTATACCAGGGTCATTCTAACAATATTAAGATGATCCAAGTTCTCCCATGTGCTGACATTCTTTAATTTACAAATACAGACATAGCCAGTAGGTCTTACTGGATGTAGTTTGATTTCTTACAACATAGTATTCCCAGTTCTGGAAGCACACAATAAGGCTGCCAGATCAGGTTACTTGGGAAGCTAATTTGAGCTCTGATGGTTCATTAGTTTGGATAGCACAGACTACAGAAGTGGCTAAACTGCTCTTGAAATCACACTGACCCTGCAAGCAGTATAGATGTATTTGCGTGGAGTGTGCTTGAGCTAAGACTTCACTGGGTCGTTACAGAGCTAACTGATAACGTTCTGCCAGATTGATATAATTAATGCACAACCCATAAAAAGCTGATGATTGTCTGTAGCTGAATTCCTTCTCTACATCCCAGCTAAAGCATCTAGTTCTGCAGACGTATAGGAGCTAGATTCACAAGATCAAATCACAGTGAATAACTTCTAGATATCTTGCTACCTCATAAAACTCACAACTCTGGGCAGGTGACTGGATCATTCCATGCATCTCCCAGGATGCATAGGAGGTGGAAAGAAAATAATTCTGGTTTCATGTATTCCAGATACGTGCTTTGGTGTCAGTCTCATCAAAAGGCCTGGAATTTTTTTCTGAGGTTGGATGGGTGAAAGTATCATCACTTCTTGCCTGAAAATACAATTTTCAAATCCTGAGATTTAGGCATGAGCTAGACTGCTAGGAGGTCAAGTGCTTGCCTACAGGGCTGGGTAGAAGCTCTGTGAGTTTTTGTAACTAGCATTGGCATCTGATTCTTGACTTTGCACAAGAGATATTTATATACACATGTCTTCTGAATGTGGCTTCAGGTGACCTCAAGGACGTAATGCTTGAATGGATGTGCTAGGTCATTTGAAACAAGTTCTCTGTTTCAGGCAGAAATGCTATAAGCAAGTGTTTCCAGGATGTCACTGCTCTGGTACTAGAAAGTTTTTCCACGGTTCAACAGTAAATTTATTTTTGGATAATTTGTTCCGCTTGCTTTTGAGCCAATGTTAGCCTAAATACACCTTATCTCATGCTGCTTGAGACCCTGATGTATGTAGAGAGTAGTTCTTTCCAGCCTCCGTTCTGTTCGAAGTGTCTCTTTTTCCATCCTCCCATAGAAAAGCCTTCCATTCTGCATGTCTTTAAAGGTTTTCTCTGTTGTCTTTCCAGTCAAATTAATCTTTCTTAAGACTGGATGATCACAGCTGTTCATAGTATTCTGGAGAGTATCTTGCCCTAACTAGTCCTTACTGTGAATGGACAATGAAAGCTAATGTCTCAGTTCTTTCCAGTAATCCTTACTCAAAAAAGTAATCCCACTGCTCTCAATAGCATTTTGTTTCTCTTCAAGAAAAATCTTAATTTGAAATCAATGGAAAAATTGTTTAATATGAGGATGTTTTCCCTTCCGTTGAATTTAGTGAAGCTTCTCCTGAGCAGAAATAGTTTATGAAACTGGCCAAAGCATTAACTGGGGGAAGTTTAATGTAAGGCAGGTTCCTCCAACCCAGAACTCAAGAGTAATGTGACCTTCTAAGTAAGGTGTGTGGCAGTATCAAGAAGCTGGTAGTGCTGTGGACCTCAGACAGCAGAGTGAGATATAACCCTCAGCATGTTCTTTGCTCTATGTTGTTACCCAGATGGGTTGCAGTATCTTGCTGGGCTGTTCCAACAGACAACCACCACTTGGCTGCAGTCCAGCGCTAGACCATTACGCAGTGGTGCTGCTGTATTGGCAGGTAGACTTCGATACCATATACATACTGGTATTCGAATTAGTAATTATCTTACAATGACAGAATTGTCTCCCTGTATTTGTCAAAGGGTACGAACCCCCCAAATTTTAGTCAGATAGCTCTGTTGTAACAGGAAGTCCAGAAAGTTTATCCTGGATTCTTCCACATTGTGGCTGTGTTGTTCTGTCCTGTGAACAGTTGTACTCATGCATAGTGGATGTTCTGAAGACCAGATTTGTCATCTTCTCTGTTACTGCCAGCTGTATTATAAGAGAAGAAGCACAAATGAGGAAGGAAGAATGAGGGATACAAGGTATCTGTTGCCCTCTTAATCCCTGGCTGTGTCTCTGGCTAAACACAAGCCGAGCATACTTTGACCAAAGCAAAGGAAGTAAAGAACTACATAGCTGTTGATGAAGAATAGAAAAAATGCCGTGATCTTTGGTCGCAAGGCAGTCTCTTCCCCATGTCACACTTCTAAGGGAGAAACAATCTATGCTACCACTTTTGTCTCCAGTTCCTTCTTGTTGGGTGGTGGAGGCTAGAGATTTCCTCACCAAGCCTGTTCCCTTTTTCTGTTTTCCTGGAAGCGTGAATGTCATTACTTGGGAGCAGCAGTTTTCTTCCCTTACGTGCTCTGGTGATATAGATAAATCCCCCAAAGTCATAAGAAAACACGTCTTCCTTTGCGCCTTCAAACAGGTGTGCAATGTCACACACTTAAACATTTTCCTCATTTTCACCATCTATAAAGTGAGAATGGTGATAACCAGCTTGTGAAATCTTTCCATACATATAATCCTCTTTTCCCCCCGCCCCCAACTGCTGGATCTGCTTAAAGGAAAAGGTGGGAGAGGGAAAAAAGTGTGGGAGGATGAGACATGAATGAGCTGCTTACCAAAGAGGTAGCTACACAGTGTGCTGGCCTGTAGCTGCCTGTTCCTGGAAGGGATGAAAAGGCAGCCCCATTGGCAAGGTGTCGCTCTGTGGTTTTGCCCGTCCTATTTATAGTCAGGTAATTGCAGCGATGCTCAATAAAATTGTTGCTGCTATGACTGTTTCAGTTTCAAATACCGCAAATCAATGCTGATAGCAGAATGCTTCGCCTACAAATAATTAACTGCACTTAAGCTGTCAGAAATGTTTTTCCATCTGTTTCCTTGAGCCATACTCTTCCTTTTGCACTAGAAAGTGGAAGAAAAAGTTCTTCAGCCTACACCTTCTTACAGGAGCTGTACTGAGGGTGTTATGATCTGGCACTGCTGTTGGGGTTGTGATTACTCATACGTTAGTACGGGTATTAGCAATCTATTGCTTTTCATTTCTCCATTCTGTCTCCACACAGATATTTTTGTAAAAAAAAAAATTTTACAGGGCATGATCCAAAATCT